AAATAAGAAGCTCTAAGATTTCAACATGAGAATGGAAAAAAATTTTTACAAATACAAAATTTAAATTTTCAAAAGAAATGTCAATTCGTAAACTCTTGTTAATAGCGTTTTTAATCTTGATAATTTATCAAGAAAAGAGCTATCGATTTCTGTGCTACAATCTTAGTTCTTGATAAATAATAAAAAATAGAAAAATTGTTTATAAAAATGTTGAATTTATCAAGTACACATATTGGAGCTGTAAGTAAACAAAAGATAATTTGTCGCAGTGCTATCGGTTTGTCGCGCAGGTTGTATGTACTACACGTGCATACTTAAAAAATTTTTTTTGGAAGTTTTACCCCTTTTCTTTTATAGCGTTTTGTTCGAAAATATCATTTAGCTCTTTACTCGCTGAGAAAATTCTCAAATATTTTCTAGAATCCATTTGAATTTTCAAATTTGTTTAATGCGGCAAAATAAGGTTCAGTTAAGAAAAGTAAATAAAAATATCATAAAAAATCGCAAAAAAATTGCACTGTTGTCAGGCAAAAATTATGATTTATATTATACCCTTGCGTAGCGAAAGGCAAAAGCAGTGAAAAACGTAAAGAAATTAAACATAATAAAAAAACAAGTGGTTTGAGCGGCCTTTTTAACACCGGCATTCCGTCTGCAGCACAGATGTACATCCACACATACATACATTAGTACTTTACCCATCTGTTTGTGTGCACGTGGCGTATGAGTAATGCCCGCTACATTGGCGAACGTCTTAAGGGCGCCATCTGTTGTCTTTCACACTCAACACCACAATTTTACACATTTACTGCAGCAGGCTACGCTCTTAGCTTAAGTTTACTTGTTCTTTTTTTCGTTTACTTGCGGTTTTTGCACCTTGAGGACTTTCCACAAAATTTACGATGCTGCGAACGCTAGCGGTCATAGGCGAAGTGAGTAGATTGCGAAAATTTTGAAAGAAGGCATACAATTTAAAAAGTAAATAAGTGCACGAATTTTTTTAAAGGTACTAAAAATTTTATTTACTTGAATATTTGTTTATAGAGGATTGATAATCTTAGCTCAATTGACTGAAGTTGGGATTTATTATATTTGGAGATTTGAATGAAACAGAGACTGGGAGATCGGGACTGGGAAATGGGGTCTTGCGTGTTAAAGAAGCATAGACCACCTAAATTTTCCACTATATTTTTCATGAATAGTTTTTTTTTAAGTTGCAAGTACTTCTAAACTACCACTATCACTACAATTGAGCATTAAAGATCTTTCTAAATCCACAAAAAAAAAAAAACCGTTGTCATCATCTTTTCAAATAATTGTGCCCAGTATTGCCTTTCTGGCGGTGCTGTATTCGATTCTGGTTTATAAATATGGGTCCACTAACAATCCGGTATAGATGCAAAGTCTAAAAAGACAGTTATTTTTATATTTCGATTTTTATTTTTCAATAATTTGAAGCCTGTAATCGTTGTAATCGTTTTATGACCGATTGGAATTTTTAAAGATAAAAAAAACAAGTAAGAAAGTCTAAGTTCGGGCGGAGCCGAACATTAAATACCCGGCACAAGTATTAAATATATGTTTTCCACCTTTCCGAAAGCTAACGCTACATGATAAGCGGGTGTATAAATATTAAGTAAACTAGCATCCTTAAATTTCGAAATATTGAAATTTCAAGCATTTCTGAAATTTACCGTTATATGAAAAGCGGCCGTAATTTTAGTCCGATTTCAATAATTTTCAACGGTTCGCTTTCATGTGGCAAGCACAATAACCATACCGAGTTTGGTACAAATTGCTAAAACGGTTAACGATATACATATATGTGATCATAAGTGGGCGGTGCCACGCCCATTTTCTAAAATTTTATCATAAGCGTATTTCCTGATAAAGACTTGTTGCAACCATCAATTTTGAATAAATTAGCTTTAATATTTACTGATTTATCGAGGATTTCGTATTTCTCGAAAATACCGTTATATGGGATGTGGGCGTGGTTATTGACCGATTTTAAAAAGTTTCGGCCATTTGGTATGCTGTACCAGGGTCAACAACTGTGCCAAGTTTGGAAGAAATTGGTGCAGCGGTTACCAAAATATACACATGTAACTATAAGTGGGCGTGGCTACGCCCATTTTTCAAAAATTTTTAATATTCTTATTTCTCGTCTAAAAGTTATTCTAAATGTCAATTTTGAGTGAATTATCTTCAGTAGTTACTAAAATATCGCAGTTTTCGTATTTCTGAAAATTACCGTTATATGGGAGGTAGGCGTGGTTATTGTCCGATTTTGCCCATTTTCAATACCATCCGTCCTACGCCCGAAAGAAGTACACGTACGAAGTTTCGTTAAGATATCTCAATTTTTACTCGAGTTATCGTGTGCACAGACGGACGGACGGACGGACAGACAGTCACCGCTTAATCGATTTCTCTTTTCATTCTGATCAGTTAGGTATACATTTGTCTATATCTATCTCGATTCGTTTTGCCTGTTACAAACAACCGTTATGTGAACAAAGTTATAATGCCCTTGTGCACAAGTGCGCTCGGGTATAAAAATTGAATCTAAAATAAAGATTGTAATAATAACAAAAAAAAATATATATATCTAACATAACGACCAAAAATAAATCTGCAAGTTCTCCAACACTATACCAAAGGAATTACGCTTGGGAAGGAAATATTAGGTCAAAATCCCAGAGCAAGATGTCTGGTCAAATGGTTTACCTAAACTAGATCCCAGACATTGCTACACAGGCGCACCAAAGAAGGAGGGCAGAGAAGCAGCCGGTGTCTTTGGACCTGGCACCAAACCTTCTTTGTAATGGGTACTTGGGCCCCATTCTTTCAGCCCGAGGTACTAGCAATCTCAATTTGTGCCAGACTGAACGTTGAAAGGCACATTTCTATTTATCTTTTCAGATGGCCAGGCGGCCGTAAGGGCCCTTTCAAATAGAGCCATAACCTCCAGGCTCATAAAGAAATGCTTTCACACCGCCAAATCTCGAAAGTAAAGAACACGGTATTACTATGCTAGGTTCCAGGATACTGCAGGATTGTGGGTAACGAGGTCGCTAACGAGATGGCGTGGTCATTGTCAATACTTGTAGGGCCTAGATCGTTTTGTGGACTCAGTTGTTCCACCTCGCGATTCATAATCGAAGCGTGTGTAAACTAAGAACGAAGCAAGTACTGTGGAAAGGTAGGCATTTTAAATACATTACTGATATCCATACCATACATATACTTAATTCTCCATTTCAATTTAAATTTTGATTTATTCAGTCTATGACATTGTATTTCTTACAGACCAGACGTACATAAATTATGATCTAAAAACTTATGTTTAGGTAGTTAAAAACGCCCATAAAAGGGCAATTATATTAATGATACCTATATTAATGATATAAATTTTTTTAGAGATTTTACTAAATTCTAAATGCGCTGGAAATATTGGTGTATGAGAAAAATAATTAGCTATGACCACAGGAAGATAAAATGGTTTAATCCTTCTGTAGGTATGTTTGTAAGTGAAACCTAAATGGCTGGAGGGATTTTAACAAAAGGCAATTCTATTGCAGAAAAGACCTGCCGCTGCAAAGAATGGACAAACGAGAAAATTTGCCGTGAATGTCAGATTAAATCGTTTTGTTGCACCATTTTGTATATCGAACTCTCCTGTATTACGATTGGCCAATGGATGTGATTTGTCAATTATATTATGCATAAAGCTTCATTCGGATACACCAGGGTTGAGTTTTGCAGTGGTAAATCTCAAATTACAACCACTAAATCAACCACCAGAACCATTTCGCTCCTTGATAAAACCTTTTCTATAGGTCTACCTTTCAAAATACCTTAAAAGCTAGTTTCATGAAAGCAATTTAATGAAAAATGTTTTTTCCACTTAAATTGCTTTAACGAAACTGGCTTTTAAGCTACTTCAGCTGAAATAAGCTAGTGTATATTGGATTTTTGTTGAACAATGATACGCATCCATTTTGAAATTGCCACCAACTGTAAGATAAAGTTTCCAGGGCAGATTCACTACACGGTTAAAAATTTCGGTTTTAATTTTAAACTTTTTGGACTACATATATGACCAAACTAAATTCAGTTTCAAATACAAACCTTCCAAGTTTAAAAAAAAGAGAGCACATATGATGGGTTTAGAATTTAAACAATTCGGTTTAAATGTTAAACCCAAACATTTTCATAATTAAGAATAAAAAAAAAACAATCTTAAATTTCATGCTCCGTCTGGTTGGGATTGAACCCGGACAGCCTTGGTAGCAACCAATTGTATCAAGCATCTTTGCACACTCAGCTACAGCCACGCATGTAAATGTGCTTTCATATGTTGAGTTTGAATCAACACCACAATTCGCTGTGCAACATATTCTATTTCGGTTTAGATTTTAAACCAAATTTTCTATATATGAAACCTAGAAACTAGAATTAAAACATTTTGGTTTGATTTTTAAACCACGAACTTTTTGGGCTAAAATTTAAACCAGAATATATTAAAAATTGCGTAAAACTATTGACTGGTTTAAAAAGTAGACTATAAAAGTTTAAAAAAGGCAGTAGTCCCAGCGCGGTTTAAAAATTAAACCCAAATTTTTGACCGTGTATAGATCCGGATCATTGCTGCCGCCAGGTAACATTTTCATGGATATAATACTTTCTTTAGGTTATTAAAGGCGGCAAACCACCACCAAACCATAATCTTAGCTGATAAATGTGATAATGGAAGTCGTAAGCGTAGATTGTTGGTTAACATGTTGGACTAAAATATTTAAATAAAAAACTAATTTTGGGCGGGACGAAGTTCGCCGGGTCTGATAGTAAAGTATATTGCCCGTATGTAAAAGTAGGCAACCCGTTCTCTTGTCTACAAATATTTTTAAAGACTCACACCGATTTAGTCATATGAACAAGCATGCTATAGCAAGCAGTAATAGCAATAATAGGTAAAAGTTGAGAAATTGACTTACCGCCACGCACTTCACATGTCAACACAATATTGTCGCCCTCGAGCAGTGGACCCACAGCACCGGCGACATCACGTCCTGAGGCATCATAAACCAGAATTTGATGTGGAGGAACTGCCGAAACGGGACAAGCAGTGTGGTAAAGTATATGAATGTGTTTAATTATATATGTAAGAATATTCATATATTATGTAAATAAATGTGCAATGTGTATAAATATCCATAAGTTGTGTTTGGTATAAATATTTGTTCTACTTTGTTCTTTAAGAAAAATTGTATTTACGCAGTTTTATAGCCCATTCAATTTTAATAAAGAAATGCTAATTTCAAGGCGCTGGTTTTTAATAATTTTATGCTGACGGTGTCAGGCATTTTCTTCCACATAAAGTAATTTTTGAGCATACTTCATATGGAAGAAATTTCACAAAACTGCATAACTAAAATTTGTCTAAATTTTGTATTTTAAAAGTTTAAAATTCTTGGGTGTTATCATTAAAGTCAGGGACCGTAACACTTACCACTTTTATTAAAAAACACTCTCTTTAACAATTATTTTTTTACTTTTACTTAATTACTCCTTGAATAACAGTTTTCTTTCGGATTTTTATTTTATGAATCCAAACTATCAATTATTTTAGATTTTTATCTAAATCTGCAAAAAACAGTTATTTTTTATTTTTAAATTATATATCTTAGATAACAGTTAGTGAAGACTTCTATTTATAAAAGTCATCAATCATAAATCAGTCACTGATTTTTATTTTTAAAATCATACTTATAAAATCATTTCTATAAGTCGTAGTAAACTTTGGTTCTCCAACACCTTCTTAACTGCGAAAAATGATAATGACTTTTATTCGTATAATTTAAAAAATAAAAGTCGGTGAGTGATTTTTATTAATGACTTATGTAAATAAGAGTCTTCAATAACTGTTATCACAGACATATAATATAAAAATCAAAAATAACTGTTATTTACAGATAACTTAATTCAAAATCAAAATAATTTTTATTCTTTTTTCGGATTTACAAAATTTAAATCAAAAATAATTGTTATTTTTTGATTTGGAATAAAAATTACAAATAAACTTTTTTATAAAATTTGATTATCGGTGAAAAAAGAAATCGATTGGTATGTATCACTTAGTTGTACAATATTTCCTTCATAGTGAATTTTTCAAGGACAATTTTCATAAATAACAGTTATTTCGCTCCTTGGTAAAAGTTTTTTGAATTTTTATAATTTTTGTATGAAGTTTTAAATGTGGATTTATGTGTTGCTGTTTATGCTAGGATTTTATAAAAAAATTATAAACATTAAATAAACAAGAGAAAATTTGCCAAAACTGGTCAAACTGTCACTAACAATTGACAACAAGTGCATATACAGTAATTTATATCAAAGCACACACGCCTACAAGGATTCAGCTGAGTGTATGTATTTATCTGCATTTGTGTATATAACTCTAGAATATTATTTACTTGGGTATACTTATGGATTTAATTATTTATATAACGTATTTATATACATACATATATATAAGAAATATATTTAATTAACAGTCTGGCTTACTTACCAATAACCGTTAAATTAATCCTATGATTACGTGTGGGAGAATTCTGAAAATCGACGCGACATCTGTACACCTGTGGGATACGAAATGAAAACGTTAAGGAAAATCAAATTAAATGTGCGTTGTTCATTTGTAATTGTTTTGTAATTTAATAAAAAATAATCTTTGAAAAGCATACGTTTTACTTAACACTAAATAAATTGTTGCAGTTTTAATTGTGGAATTAATTATTTTGGAAAACACTGAAAAACAAATAACTTTTCTTGTTAGGAAGCGCATCTACAGCACCAGAGTGGACTATAGTAAGCAATCGGTCACTGAAAAGTATGAGGCAGTCCCAGCCGGACTAAGTGAATAATGTTTATGAATTTGTTTTATGAATTTGGTTTATTTCGATATATTTCGAATACCATAATGGCACTAGGCAAGATTTTCCATCTACCACCGTAATCTCTCTCGGGTCTCTGACAAACTACATCTCATAAAATTTTTAAAATCTAGCAAAACTATATAATAAATAAGTAAGAAACTAGGAAAAACGGTGCGTTAAAGTGCCTCAGCCAAATGAAGCCTCGCAATGTGCAGATTTTATAAGACGCCGGTCGACGTTGTTCAGCCTTTGTCATGAGAAGACGTGTTAAATAAGAAGATAATGGGGAAACTCTTCCACCATATCCTTCTTCAATTAGCTGTGAAAATAAAGGTTTGAACGATCTGTATGTCCTAATTCATTATGGCGTTTTCGTTTCTACAAAATTTGTCTTCTCATCTCATTGCCCTCTTCTTAGTGTTTTTGCGTAAGAGAGTTGTATTTTTCGTTAGAAACGAAAACAGAACTAGTTTACCGTCTCCAAGGAAATGACCTGAACTTTCCCTGTCTTATCGGTTTATCAGATTTCCATGATATGGAAGCACTTAGAAGTTTGAGAGAGTAGAATTCAGACACTGTCTGACCAACTTACTCACTTTAAAATATTTGATCCTTAAGTCTGGCTTTTCCTATGTAATATTTTGATGCCAAATTTTGAGGACATATTTTTACGCAACTTATTCTCTTTTATCACAACCTTTACCGATGTCATTATGGGCCAAAAATAGACACATAGCCGATTTAGCAGCGCGTGCAAATGTCTAAGGAACTATCCTAATGAAAATCAATCGATATACCGTTTTGAAGTTGAATTTGACATAGTGAGAACAAGCTTTAAGTTTTCGTTCATAAAAAAGCAGCTAACAATTTATCTTGTATTTGATTTTGTTCTCTAGCTTCGGTATACCAAAGACTATATAAAATCAATTGTATTTTCATTCAGAAAGAATTGAAATATGACTGAGAAATCGAACATAAAAATTTTGTTATTTACTTACGCCTTCATCATCCAATTGAATATTGTCGACTGTCAATTTCGCTGGCTGTTTATTCGTTACAAAATAAGCGCGCGGTCCAAATGAATTTGTATCTGACCAGTATAAAGCCTTTTCGAAACCTCTCCCCCGAACATCAAAGCTGAAAAAAGACACAAATACGGATTAAGAAGCATGTAAAAATGTATTGATTTGTGCCTTAAAATTATTAAAGTTTTAAGAGACTAGAACCTAAGTGAACTTTGAAGTATACGCCTTTTAATACCAAATAAAATTATTCTACACTTTTATTCCATTTATGATATAGTACATATTTGTGTATGTATGTATAGAAAAAATTAAACAACGACTTTTAATTCTCGAAACCAGATGTATTCTTTTTCAGAATACTTATTTTCCGTGAAGCACACACACACTCATTTCTCATTTATTCCAATTTAAATTAAAAAAAAAATAATAAAAACAATAACAGCTTTTAGCAACAAGCTCTAATTTCATTAGTAGTGAACTGCATAATTTGATGTTTGATCCACACATGCACACTGAACTATTGTTTGCTAAATAACCGTGAAAGCAATTAAAAAATTTTAAACGAATAATCCGATTTTCATACAAAATATGCTGCGTGGTTGCGTTCGTGGATTTTTACTAAATTTTAAATGAAAAAATATCGCAATTATTTGAAAGCCATTATAGTTTTCTTTTGAAAATCGCACGGATTTACGGCGAAGTTATTAAAACATATACATTTTTAATAACATGTCCGCAAGCGTAAATTTAAATCTCTTTTATTTAACCAAAAGTTCGTGGTATTTTACTTTTTAATTTTTTATACATTTAAAGCAGTGTAAAAAATAAAACTGCCTTTCCCCAAGGCTGAGCGAATCATTAGTCACATTGAATTCTTTTAGAAAGTTACTTCGTATAATTAAAATTTCGCATCAGAATCAAGTACTCAGACAAGCAATTTTAAACTAAATTCCATTCACCACTTCCCCGTGTTATATTTCCCGCCTTGCCACCTTGGCATTAAACATTTCCGCCAAGAGCAACTGAAAAATTCGCAGCATATTCCCGCTGTCTTCGAATCCATTTCATTTTAAATATGGTGGACCAAATTAATGCCATTGAGTGGTTATTGCTTTGGCAGAGATCCATAAATATTATCAGTGTTGAAGATTGTTGGCATAATGTCCTTTTGTATAGACCTCCATTTTTCCTTATGCTTTGTTTGTTACTATTGCAGTTAATGTGTATTTAAATGGAGGGAGAATGACAATATTTTGCAGCATTAAGTTGGAAATTTGCTTTTGTCACCAATGCATACCGTTATCTAGTTAACAATGAAATATTTTATGTGGTTGTAAGAAAACAAAAAAAAGTAACTGAAGTGTGAGTAAGTAACAGGTATTTACTTTCTTTGCATCAAACAAAAATTTTTGGAAAAAGTAAGTATGTACATACATATGTATATATGTACAAGGTGTTTTAATACGCAAGCACATAATTAAGAAAGCCAGTTTAGTTTCTAAATAATTTCAACGCTACAGCCGATTTGGGTAACCATTATAGAAGGGACAATAAGCTGTAAGGAGCAATGGACCGCATGTACTCTGAGCGCTGCTTTGTTTCGTTTTAGTTGGGAATGAGTAACACCATCCACTGAACGAGACCGGACTATATAAATTTAATCAAGCAACACCTTCGTCAACACTCGCCGCTCGATTCCTAACATCGGAGATCAATGTTACCGATCGCAGGCGAAGAGCTCAAGTTGCTTCGTCACGTTCGCCGTACTACGATTACAATGAAGACATGTAGCCGATTTACGGATTTGGACCGAGTTTACCGGTTTGGAGAAGCCGAGTCTATCACTCTATTAATTAATAAATTCCATTAACTTCATAAGAACGATATTAAAAAAAAACTTTGACTTAGAACTATTTTCAGAAGTGTTGTTACCTATTTTAAAATTTAAGACAATTTAAAATTAAATTAGATATTTCGAAATGGGTACCAAAATAAAGGTGTTTGAAGACACTCGTTCAGTATGGGAAGAGGTACTGCTTGTTATCAAATGAATTGATCAATGATCCAGATATTTAAAAAAAATAAATAAAAGAACGCCAAAAATGTCAGAGAAAGCTGTTTAAAAAGTCCTTGACAAAAACTTAATATTGTTGTCAGCAACAATGATTTCTTTGTGGCATGGATATGGTGGATGGTAGTACTAGAAAGTAATATCGGAATATACACAAAGCCACTTGTGTGCCCCTATTCAAAGGACCCAGAATTAAATTTAAATATACTAGAGGAAGAGTAGGTAGATAAGAAGCCTATTTAGAAGGAAGTAATGACGCAAGAATAATGTGAATGCGATGCTGGCCGAAAGGAGCTTTACGCAAAAAATCTACCAGAAGAGAGTAGGTGGTGGTGTGCGTCCCGATGTTATAACTTACTTGGAAATATTTAAAACTTTATATCGCCACCGCACGGAAAGTAGTTTTATGAGAAGCTTTTTCATGGAAAAAATACTCTCGGAGGGCAAAACTGTTTGTAATGCTACGGAAGAGTAGCCACCTTTAACCACTCAGCTACAGCGGCAAAAAGATAATACTTTCTCGACGAAGTGAAATCACGCTTTGCATATCTCTCTTATCATTCCTTTCCTATGACCCAGAAACTTTACCGACATTGAATTAAGGTGAGAAAGATTAAGGGTCCTTCGAGAGCTAAAGGCATTCGCATTGGCGACACGTACCGAAGAAAACGAAGTGGCAAACTGTACGAGTTTTAAAATGAAATCGTTGGCTGCAATAATGGTGACACTCTGGGGAAAAGATACTTTGATTTCGCGCCAATGGAAATAAAGAATAACAAAAAGGTAGAGGAAACTGGCGATATTTTTTTGGGGGGGGTTTAGACCCGAAATGAAGCCATACTTAGCACTGCCAGCTAGTCGAGTAAGCCCTGGCAGTGGTGGAACGCATGCTGTATGCTAAATTCTCTCGATTTCTTCTACAATTCCGCAGCTACGACTTAAGACATTCCAATGTGGGCTCGATTCGTTCGCGTGCGTACCCATCAATCAAGGACCTTTGAAAATCCTAATTACATGTCGAAGCTGTTGGCGCGCCAGTCATAAGAGTGGAATAGATCTTTCCTTACCTAATTTAGACGAGGAATGTCGTGCCGTCCACGTGCGCTCTGCAGACCACCTGATAAAGTCATTTACAGCCAGAGTTTTCAAGATGATTGTACAATAACCTCGTCGACAGCGGCATTAACCGCAAAAAGTTTCTATTGGCTGACACTCTTATTACATTCTCGTATGTACTATATCTGAAGTGTTTTTCGGTTAATTAAAGTCCAATTATCCCAAATTTCAATAATGCTTATTTGAATTAATTTTATACCACTTCACAGTAATCCTGCTCACTTTTTTAGGCTTAAGTATATGAATTACATTTGCAAGCGTACATATCTCCCATTCTAAATATATAATTAGCGCTTCAATGATCATTGTTGCATTATTCCAAGCCCGTTGCTATCCCTACTAAGCTTCGAAAGGCTTTACCGAGTGGAAGGTGGAGAGTAGGCTGATGAAATAAACTGGTGCTGCTCTTTCAACAACTGATTAAGCCCGTCGACTTTGTGTCCGAATTTCGCAATTAAATCAATGCAGCCATGCTCAAGTTAAACCGCAAATGACAAACGATTTTTAAGTGCGGTCTTGTGCAGCAGCGATTGTGGCGGCCAAAATAATGTATCGTGCAGTGTTGCCACTGTTCATGCCAAGCGTGACAACGAAAACCAAATAAAGGGATGCGGAATTGGCGACGTAGTTTCTTTCTTTTTTTTTGCCTTTTATTGCCTTTTTCTGCTTGAATACCAGGCGTTTGTAGGCACTATTATGGGCAGTATTTTCCAAATGTCAGAAACATTTTTCAATTGTTTGTTATGCCCCCAAACGATGGTGACAATAACAACAGCAACTATGATAGGAATAAAAACATTCATAGTAACGAGAATGGAATAAAAAAAAATTAACGGCAGGCGCAAATTAGCTAACATCAAATGGAGTCAGAACGAGGGGAACTCTGTGATGTCGAAGCTGCTACATTGAAAGGAAACAAACTAAAGCTTTAGTAAACCAAAGCAAGTGTAAAGAACACATATTTCTTCGAGGTGGAAGGCATATAGAAAAACGGCAAAAAGAAAAAAGTTTAAAATCGGAATTCGTCGGAAGAAAAGTTAGCATTGCTGAAAGAAATTTATGTTTTTTTTTCGTTCGCTTTTCTTGTATTATTTCTTTACACTACCCGGGCATAGCGTACCTATAAAAGAATGAGGCAAGGAAAATAAGAGAATGTAAACAAGTGCAAAAATTAAAGGAAAGAATACTTAGCCGAACGAAAAGTTAGCTGTGGAAAATCTTAAGAATTCGCTCGGGTGTGAAATTTTCCATAGACGTTGCAAAAATAATAATTTTTTCCGTCGCTGGTTGAGAGAAGCGAAACGGCATTGGTGTTGCTTTGTTGTAAATGACTATGCCAACAGCGTGAGTAGGTCTGCACGCTACGCCAAACTTGATGCGTTCGGCGATTGGCTCTGTTTTGTTGGATATATTTTTTTCCTTCCTTCGCTAAAGTGTTTTATGTTTTTGCTGTTTGCATATTTGCAGCAAATGCCGATAAGAAATACTAATGAGCGTATAAATGCAATAATCGCACTTCAATTCATAATAGTCAATTGGTTGGACTTAGCTTTTCAGATCTAGCTCTTGTTTTAATGCCTTTTCATGGGATAAGCACTTCTAATAAGCTACATGAAATAGCAAAGATAAATAAATATGATGTACATTATAGTAGTGCAGCATATTCGTACTTGCTCGTGGAAAGAGTTTTAACTCAAAATTTTTAATTTTTGATACACATTCCATTAGGAAAATGTGCACCCGTGATCACAAGATAGTTAGTGCAGACTCTATCACTGCTTATTCTTTTAAATGAAATACTAAAACTTGATGAAGTTTTTATTAAGAAGTAGACCGAGTCGTATTTTTTCCAGAGGAGAAAGCATCAAAATCCTAAGCCACAAAACCGTCCGTGTGAGACTTTAACTAACTAAACCTCCTACCAG